CCTGGTTATAGTTCCGATGAACCGGAAACCCCATCAGATCGCTCGCCCAAACCCTAGATCTAGACGAAGGAGCCCTAGCATCCTTCTTCTTCAGATCGTCGGCGGTGATCTCCTTCACCGATCCCGACGAGTCATCGGAGTTCGAACCCTCCTCGTTCCGATGCTTCGCCATTAGGGTTAGGGTTAGGGTTTCGGCTTTGTTCGTCGTTAGGTGGTGATATTAGAGCCGTTTTTTAATGGAATCGAGATCGAATCGGAGAGCTGCGGGAGACGAATCGATCAATTAGAGTTTCAAGTTGCGATCTTTGGCGAGGGTACGAAGAAATCGCCGAGGGATCCAGCCAGCGGAGGAGAAGATTTTGGGAGGGGGGCAAGGGAACGACGAAGTCGAGGAGCGAGGGGGGGGGGGTAATTTATTGAGTTAGTATTTTAGGGTCGGCGAATCTTGGCCGTACACGTCAGCATGACGTCGGGATCCGCTAATACTTTTTTTGAATCTGGGAGTAGCTGTTTGGTTTAATCATATCATATCATACTCCCTCCTTTAGAAGAGGGGAGTATGAGTAAAACTTTCTATGGATAACTTTACCTCTAAATCTTATTTATATTATATATTCTAATTCTAATTAAATTAACTTAAATTAAATTAATGAGATTAACAACTCATTATTTTGTAACCTTTACCGGTTCATCTTCACATCTCCTCTTTTGTCATAATAACAACATTTCTTCACTAAAAATTCAAAATCTATTTCTCTTCTCTTTCAGCACTCAATCTCATTGCCTCTTCGTTTAAAAAAAATTCAAATACATCTCTCATCTCCATATCCACCCGAAATTAACTCTAAAAAGCTCCTACTTTCAAATACCAACAACACCTCAAATATTTCTTCAACAGCACATTGATCTGTATCAAGCTCAATCCTTCGCCTGATTCCTCCTCCACATTGCCCTCATCCATTATATTCTTTTGTGCCAATTTAATAGTAAGTTTGAACTTTTTCTTAATTTTTTGGAGATGAAAACCAAGTGAGATTTTATGCTCTCTCGGTTTCCCAATTCAGAACTACATGAAGATGCAGCAAGATGCCAAGATATTTTAGAAACCGCCAAATTTTGCTGAATGCTTTTAAGTTTTTTATGGGATAGTATTATTTGCAACAACCAGACTAAATATAATTTGTGCATAATTTATTAATTAATCTGCACATGTCATATATAGTTATTTAATTTTTCACACTATACCAAATATTATTCTCAGTTTATAAGTATATGGACAATGAATTTACATGTCCTATCATACTAGGAATACTTCTGCATAATTAGGTTTTTTTAAAATCTTTAATCTTTTTAAGAAATTCTTAATCTTTTTTTAGAACTTTTTTATATTTGAATTCACTATTTGTAATTTTGGTTGTTAGAAGATTAAGTCCCGAAATGTGAAAAAGGATGTAGCTTGTGAGGATTCAGTCTGACCTATCCTTGTGGACATGTTGAGTTAATTAGTTGGTGTCGGGATGGTGATTCATATAGGCATAACTCGAGTTGAGACTATATTTGAATATGTTTTGTTGCTATTTTTCTTTTGTGTGTGGTTTCATGTAATCATGACTAAATATGTAAAAATACGTATAGTGCTTTCATCTTTTTGTTGGGGATGAAAGCTACTCTGTAAGTTTAGAATAATAGTACGGCTATCGGCTAGGGTCTTTTAGAGCCCCTTTTTTTAGAAGTATATTTGAATTAGTATAGTGTTGGTTAATTTAATGGACTATTTATTGCATGAATCTACTTATTGTTTTACTTTTTCGGTAAGTATATTTGAATATGTTATGTCTTTATTTTTCTTTTGTGTGTAATCATCGCTAAATCTGTAAAAATACTTGCAGTGCTTTCATCTTTTTGCTGGGGATGAAAGCTATTTTGTAAGTTGGGAATGGTAGTATGGCTGTTGCCGGGGGTCTTTTAGGCCCTATTTTTTCTAAAAGAAATATATTTGAACATGTATCATATTGGTTAATTTAATGGACCATATTTAGTGAATGAATCTACTTATTGTTTTACTTGTTTATAAAAGAATAATATTTATTGATTATATGCAAGTTTTTTATAGTGCCGTATAGTTTACTTGAGAATAAAGTACCACAATTTAATATTAAATCAATGATAGAGTTTGGTTAAAGATGATGAAAAAGTGGTCCTAATATTCTCAATTTACTTGTTTGCTATTAATTAACAATTTAATAAAAGTAGTTTTAGAATAAACTCATTTTAGCACTATAAATTTTAATAATGATGATTAATAGCTTATGAAGAATTCGTCCCTGGGTATATGGCTGTGAAGCTGTATTACCTTTAGAAATCCAGATCTCATCCCTGAGAGTTGTCCTTGCAACCGGGATGACAGATGAAGAGCAACATCGACTACGCCTTCAAGAAATGGAAGTACTAGACGACAGGTGACTTCAGCCTCAGCAACAGATAGAGTTGTATCAAACTCGAATATCCAAAACCTTTCATAGGAAGGTCAAAGAACAGATCTTCAAGAAAGGCAATTTGGTCTTAGTAGTCAGACGACCCATGGTGATGACACACAAGACCAAAGGAAAATTCAATTCCAAATGGGAGAGACCATTCATAATAGAATCAATCTATTCGAATGGAGCTTATCGTTTCATCAATCAGAAAGACGGCAGGCTCATAATGCCTATTAACAAGAAATTTCTCAAGAAATATTACTCGTAGACCATGAAGCCCCATTTCTGCTAATCCTCGGCCAAGTCTAAGATAATAAATCAATTTTACTTAGATTGGGGGTTGGTTACTCGAAATTCATTGAATGGAGAATAATAAATCATTCTTGTATATCGTCAAGTTAAGACTACACCTCTGACGATTGAAATTTTCTGGAATTATTCTAGCAATAATAAAGAAAATTTTTGATTTATGCTAAGTTAACATTACACCTATGACATTTTCAATATTTTCATTGTTCTAAGTTAAAACACAACACGAGAAAAGACAATGAAAAAACAAAATGATATCATTCTCATTCGATGTTGGCAATTTGATACAAAGAGATACCACTTGATATAAAAAGGATACAAAAATTTATCCCAAGCTAAGAGCAATATAAGATTCAAGCGTCGGAGCCTAATAGGTTAATGGACGCGAGCTTGGCCTTAACATCTGAAAGCTTCTTCACATGGGCTACTAGAACTTGTTCCGCAACCTCCATCCTAAACTCAGCTTCAATGGGCGCAACAGTAGCAGCCTCTTTCCGCATTGCATCAAGAGCTTGCATTTCTCCTAGATGAGTATCGCGAATTTTAGCACTCTTAAGATGGAGTCCTTGCATAGTCAACTCCTCCTCAGCAAGCTGAGCCTTCAACCGAGCAATGGTGGCGGCAGAGGCAGTCAAGGCAGCCTGTATTTGGTCATGTTGCTTCTGTAAACTCGTGATACGTGCTTCTTTCTCAGATAAATTCTGGTGAAGAGCTTCTTGCTCATGTGCATTTGTAGTTCGAAGAAGAACAAAAACTCGCTCCGTTTTGGAAAATCCAAGTTAGCATGAGTCAAGTTTTTCAAACGCGTCAAATATAACTCGAACTCAAGAAGGCTCACCAAGCATCTTGAAGCCCGTTGGTTCTCGCCTAAACGCCTAATGTTGGTTAAGCAACTCATGAAGAAGGGCTTAAAGTCTGCATAGGTACCTTTCCCAAGGTTAACTAGCGAGATCGTTTGCTGCATGGCGTTCTCCAGCTGCATGGCAAGATCCTGCAAGGTTACAAAACCTGACTGAATAAATGCAGGAGTAACTCCTTCTGACGTTTGGCCTGGAGAAATCGAAGCGATAGGCTGGATCAGAGGAACAGACTCTGATCCACCAACACTTGGTTCTCCTTCACCTTCTAAGTCTTCCGAAGCAGGGATGTTTGATTGAAACTCAGGTCGTTGAGGAGATAACGGAGTAGAAGGTTCCGCGTTTTTATTATCTGGGGTCACAGCAGGCTTAGATACAAAAGGCTCAGACTTCATCGTGTTTTCATCAACTTTGGCTTCTTGGAAGATTTGGGTTCAACAGGTCTTCTCTTGCGAGCTCTCTTCTCGTATTCACCCTCCTCCTCAGCAGTAAGAGTCTTCTTCACCGATGATTTTAATGTACAAGACCCAAGGGCTGG